TATTGTTGCATTTTTCCAAGTGGCATCCGATATTAATGAAAAATTATTACATAAAATCTTAATTAATCTTTGCGTGGGTTCAACGATAATTTGCGCTATGCGAATATTCATTTATTGGCATATATGTTAATATATTTGGTCGTCTCCATTGAAGTGCTCATATATATTGGAGTGGAGTTCTTACAGGCATTATTGCTTATTAAATATAATTAATTATAAAATACTTCATAAAAAATTAACACTGTACTTTCGAAGTGATCAACTGTATTAAGTAAGATAAAATTTTTATTTTTAAAATAAATAAAATGCAAAATAAAATATTTAATTAATAAAATTTTACTTATATATAAATAAAATGCAGAATAAAATAAATAAAATATATATATATACAATAATATTTACTTGATTATTAAAAATTCTTTAAAAATTGATTTTTAATTTAACAATAGAACTGAAGCAAACGAAAATGTTGCAATAAAAATTTATTAAAAGAATATAATTTTTAAATGTAAATAAATAGTATTGTTCTGCATAAAATGGAATTTTAAATTTTGGTAAAAAATTCAATTCTGTTTTATTGTTTCAGTTTTTGTATTGAAAATATATTGCCTCGATGTTTCACATTGTTCGGTTATTATTTTCAATATATTTCATATAAGCGGTACAGCCATGAAATGTAAGCAAGGATTTTTTATTTTTTATATTGAGTATGGATTTGCAAGAAATAAAGCTTAACTTATCTGGGTTACAGATCTATAGTTCGATCTGGCAAACGAATTTTTTTTTTGATAGTTCTTTATGTAGCAAAGACGTTAAAAATGTGAAAAATAATTTTATACAATAAGACAACAGTAGATACATTTAAAATAAAATACATCCTAAAAACCGTAGAAGTCTTAAAGTGCCATTATAATTAAATTATAATTAAATAAAAATGTTAAAGATTAACATCGTGCATCATTAATGTATAATTTTTATATAGCTTATATTGTAGACTCGAGGTTAATCCGAAAGTACGCGAAGGTCAAAAACAATTAGTGAAGTAGCCCCCATGTGCTAAATGGGGGCTGGGCCATATTACCAGAAATGTCTGTTTTTATTTTAGTATATTATTTGAAGAATACATTATAAAGAGAGTTGGGGAGTCTATTTATCCCTCCACGGGGATACGCAACAATTTTTAGAAGTCATACCGATAAGAATAACTGTCTGCTTCATTTATGCAAATATAATATAATATATATAATATAATCATATATAATAATATATATAATATAATATATATAATATGATATATAAAATATAATATAATATATGTATAGTAATGATACTCTCGCTTATCAGATAGTATCTTATATAGATTCACATATAGGCAATAAAATAACTATTGTTTATCCAGTGAAATTTAAGTAGATAAATCAGATATCTATTCATATGATTTACAAGTAATAATTGGAGGATTTAACCCTATCCAATCTTGGTGGATGTATGGTATTCTTAATGCTTTTGTAAGGTCATTCTCTCTGTTTACAAGGTCTTTATGGCCAGTTACACAGATAAAGATAATAGAAAACTTCTTATTTATCTCGTGTCTTTCACGAGACACGTTGTTGTAGATTTTATTTCTTTAACAATACCTTTAAATGTCAAAGTATTATCTATTAGTATAAAGATAAGTTAATTTATCTCTTATTAATTATTGTCTCTATCTAATTTAGAACAGATAGTATGACAGTTGCCCAAGTTAGAAACTTATGCATTAGTAGTTGCTTCGTCATAATCCATCTTCTTAATAATCCATAATTCATCATCTTAAAAGATGTTATCAGTATTATAAGCAAAAATTTTTATTATATAGTTCCAGGACTTTCTGTAACTTTTATATATATATATATAAATATATATATATAAACCTTTATAATATATTTAATTAATAGTTTTGCAAGCACAATGTGTTTGTTATAAAAGTTCTACAATTCATGGATTTCAGAAAGAAAGAGAGAGAGGGAGAAAGAAAGTGAGATAGATAAATAGAAAGAATGAGAGAGGGGAAAAGTTTTTGTAGCACATCATGAATGTTAGAATGAGCTTTAATGTTATTACGAGCATTATCCGTTTTTAAAACATTATCTACATTTTCTACAGGGAATATAATACAATATTTTTTATTGTGGAATATCGTGATAATTAACATAGATTTTATTACGTTAATAAGTACATATTTAAGAGTACTCTACGTAAGTAATGTTCATAAGTAAAAAAGAAACCATAAAAATAAAAATTATTTCTTTATAATTAATTTTAAAAATAAAATTTATTGCCACAATTATTTTAAAAGTTTTTTTATAAAAAATTTAATTTAATTTTAGGATATATAAAGTAAGAAATATAATTAACCGAAATCAAAAGTATCTATGTAATTTTGGACTTCCATACCGCATTCTATTTTCGTTGTTAGCAGCTGGGTTACCATACCAAATATTACTTTCCCCATATATGAAACCTTATGAATGGCCGAATTATAATTTAAATATATATGTATGTATTTTCCAGTAAAATGTTTTTTTTTTGTTAAGTTATTCCTTTGGCAACTATGGTAGATGTGCTAGGAAACTTTTAATATCGTTTTGCACTGTTTTTATTCCGTAAATGGTTTGGTTTGGCTCTCGAATCGAACTTGTTTATATTATTTTTACATGCATGCTGAGCAGTTTTTTATTTGAAATTTGCTTGTATTTGTAAACAGGAAATTGCTGGTAAATTGAAATTCACTAAAGTGCATTCATGCAGCAATAAAAAGTTACTAATGGATATTATTTCGTTAAAAAAACTTATGTTAACATTTTAGTATTTTTTATAAGATTGCTTAATTTAAAGAGAGCATCTAAATATACTATAAAATTTTAAATTAATATATAGATACAAATGTAGATATGTATACATAAGAGATGACTTTAGTTTGCCTTTTTCAATATATAAAATATTAAAAATTTTTAATTAAGCTTTCATTTGATGAGATTTGAAATATTTGTTGAAAATTTTATTGCTTGTCTTTTTTTGGGCAATAAAATTTATTAAATTCTGCTTGAAAATTCATTTAAAATATTTTATTGAAATATAAATGGACATTTTCAAAGGTTCTACTGATGTTAGTGGTAAAACTTAAATTGTATGAAAATTATTATAAAATACTGGAATACCACAAATGCTCTAAAGGATCTGCTTGAAATAAATTTTTTAGTTGAATTGACTTGTAGATGGTATTTACCAAATCAGCATTTATACATTTCACAATTTTTTTTTTTGTGAAAAAATAAAATTGTCAAAACATTTGAGTGAATATTTGAGGATACTTTTTTAGTTGAGATTGCACTACATCAAGTAAAGTCAGAAAAGTGCTTGAAATCAGCATAAAAGCCCAAACATGTGACCACTTTTGTTTGCCATAAAATCAGGATTCGGATTGCTTTCCATCCGTGTAAGTTTTAGTGCAAATGTGCTGGAGTGGCACACTTCAATGGTGCAGGCCATAAATTTTTATATGCTACTTTTAATAGAAATTGGACTGAACTATTCAATGTTTTTATTTAAAAATTTTATAGTATAAGCTAAGCAGTTGGAGAGGTAAAATACAGAGTTGTTTTTTTTATGCTTTTTGTTTTGTGAAATGCAGGATGTTAAAAACTTATAGTTGAAAATAACATTTAAAAACTTAAGTGCTTATAAAATATTTTATAATTGAAATTAATTTCATTGAACAGTTTTATATTTAATTTACCTAGTAAAATTTTTTATAAATGTTTTCTATAAATATTGACATGGAAAAACATACATTAAAACATGTCTAAAAAAATAAAAAATTTTATTTAAAAAATAGGAAAATGAGAAAAATTGAATTTATGCCATAGATCTCCATAATAGACTTGCATTCGTTTTAGTATGTAACTGACATGAGCTTGTAAAACGTAACTTTACATGACAGCCATTTGTAAATTTGAATATGCGGTATACGAGTATGTGAGGCACCGCCGGAAGTGGTATCGAGAGCTTCTGACTGGCAATGTATTTATTTTTTGTTTTTCGGTTTTGTATTTGTTGTTTCCTCTGGCAGTGCATATGCTGTATAGATTGTTACCCATTATCAAATGTACCCGATTCGGAAAAGTTCGATTGTGTTGGTTGACTGCACATAACAATAAATGACCCCATTGTGAATTGTTAAAAGGCTTTTCTGCTTCTTTAATATTTTTTTTTAGATTTTATAGATATTTTTCTATATATTTTGTACCAGGTGAAAACATTTATTTTAACTTTTTTGTTTGCTTGTTTTTAAACAAATACACATATATTGATTGTTTTTAATATTTGTTGGTCTTTTTTGTTTTTTGTACATGATAAATATCATTGCCTACAAAAGTTTATAGTAGCTTTTTCAAAATATTTACATTCTAGAAAAACAATTGAAATGCCTAAAAAAAAATTAAATTTTAAACTTGAAATTGAGTTTAAAAATTTTTAATAAAAATCACT